TTTGAAAAAAGCTGTTTTTCTTCAACGGAGACAAACGACGACACGAGGAAGATGACTTCATTGCCGAGTTGACTCACAAACTTAGAAAGAAAGAAAGTGTTTTGAATATACGATTAGTTCTTTTTTTTTGTTTTTTCAATGTGTTGTTCAAGTAGAAGAAGCATTATGATCTCTATTTTATAAGCAGGAAAGATGTCCTTAACGGTCAATATAATTTTTGAATTTTTTTTTCCTAAAGCAAGAAAGATGTAATTAACGGTCAATAGTAATTTATTTTTTAGACCAAAAAAATAATCATTTATTTATTTAAAAAAAAAAATATTGTGACCGTTAATTGGGGATGAATAAAGGAGCCCTCTCTCTCTCTTATTGACAGTGGCAACGAAATTTGCATCTATAATTTTGTTATATGCAAAAGTGTCCTTTATAATCAAAACTATCTGATTTTGCTTTGTTTAATTTTGTATATTACAAGATATTAAACATAGCTTCCAAATTTTGTATATTAAATAAATAAGTAAATAACAATAGTTCGGTGAGATGAAATAAATAAAATGTGTATACATGTCATCTAAATAAGCAAATTTGTGTATTTCCTTCAAGATATTAAACAAAGACCCTCACTTGAAAGTTTGCAACATTCCAAACCAAAAAGTAAAAGAGAACAAAATTATAGTCAGGTTGTGGGAGTCTCTGCACATATAACAACAGTCCAACTCAAATACTGACTAGCAAAAACCTGCACTAACAAGAAAACCATCATTGTAAAACCCAAACATGTTAGATCGCTTAAGGAATTTCCTGACGCTGATTTCTTCAAAGGCTAGTCAGAAATTTTTTAGCCAGTACAAGGCGAAAAGCTCTGTGGCTTGGACTCTTGGTTAAGGCAGAGGAACTCTTAGCGTCTAGCGGGCAACAAGCTAGAGAGCGAAGGCACTCCTTGGCTGCTCATCTCTTCGCGTGCTCTGTTCATTTCCTCTGGATCTGTTTACCACACATAGCAAGCAATTCTCAGCAATTCTATACTTTGCTAGGTTTCGATTCAGCAATAGTTTAGGAGCTCTAAGAGATTCTAGAAACAGTGAAAAGAGATGGTCTACAGTGTATACGAGTGAAGAATTGCTGAATTCCTCAGCAGATTAGATACAACGCGAACTGCTTAGGTTGGTTATTGTCACATTGATTGCTACTAGAGAGAAAGAGACCCACAAGCCGGTTTTATGATGAACATAATCAATGCACGGATACAAGTGAAGGGTTACAGAAGCGTACCAATGTTTTCCATCATCTTAGGCATTACGAACATAACAAGGACCATGAATCCCACCATAAGACCCATTGGACTTTTCACAATTGACATTACATTGAAAGGTTCTCGCATCTGCAAACAGTACATGATCGATCAGAAAACAAACGGAAGAAGCATATAGTTAAAACTAAAGAAATACATAAAAAGAAAGAATATACAGGATGAAGTAATTACCTCATAGTATTGCTCTGCCCGCAGTGGCTCCAAAACCAGCTCAGTAAGACTCCTCCTGGTTTCTGTTAGCGTTGCTTGAACCTTGCCACGATGCCGGGCGCTAACATCAACTCGCACCTAAATTTATATCATTGATTGACGAATTAGAAGCAAGTTCTTAAGAAGTCATAGATTATTGCAACTAAAGAAATCTTACTGGAGAGAAGAAGTAGCCCAGCGCATATACTTCGATCAGATGAGTCCCAGCTGGAACTTTGTGGCTTTGAAATTAGACAAGTAAAGGAAAAGAAAGATTAACAATACTGATACTCTTGTTTTCCAGAGCAGAAAACAGAATATACTAAAGGAAAATATTATCAGAAGAAGAAACAATAGTATACATACAATGTAAAGTATCCATCCGGCCTGAGGAAAGTGATATACTGTCCACCATTGAGCACAACTTTGATATTTGAGAATTTTGCTGCGTGACCAATCGCGGTACCTGCCAAAATAACTTCTAGATTAGATTGCACAAAAAAGGGTAGTGAGCCTATTACATAATGGAAACGAACTACGAAGCATAGTGATACGAAAGCGTGCAATGTCCAACAAAACTATTCAAACTATCAAAGCCCCCAAAAAAGACATTGATGACAGAAACCACAAAAAATTTCCGAAAACATTATTCAAAGTATTGAAACGTATTTGCTCATATTCTTAAGCAAACACTAGTTTTCGCCAATCTACTCATAGAAGATAACATACTACATAAGCAAGTTAAACTCACCAAAACAATAGTAAGACACGAAAGGTAACATATATACAGAATATACATCAACTAACGATCGTAAGACATAGTAATTAAGGAAACCAAACACACACTCATAGTACAACAATGTGACCTGCATCAACAGGTAGGACTAATCTCAAGATTCAGCTGCTATGTATATACTCACAGATTCACTGATAAAAATTTAAGTTTTTGGACGATTAAGATAATCTGATAATTGAAAAGATAGCAAATTGAGCAGTACAAGGCAAAAGGTAAGAAACTTACTTGCTGGGATCCTTACTCTACCCGTGATCGTGTAACTATCCTCAGACCTGCGAAAAAAAACCAAACAAAAAGATCAGAATCAAAACAGATGAATTCAAAGAAACATCAAAAGAACACTGTCTGGATGTGTAAACCCAAGTAGTGAATTCTTCAAGCAATTACATCAAAATTGAAAGCAACGTTGCACAGATTATCAACCCCAAAACTCGAAAATAAGAAAAAAAACTTAAAGAGGATTTTGTAGAGATCGGAGGATACAGGATTGAGTTAATTACCCAGATGAGATCGGAAGAGTGGAAGCAAAGAGGAAGAGAGAAGTCTGAAAGACGAGGAATGCGAGAAAGGAAGTGGATCTGAGAATCGGCGCCATGGTCGTCGTCCGAAGAATGTGGAAAGCTAAAACGACGAGTCTGTTTAGGCGAAGTAAGAAAACAGAACAACGCGAATTTCAAACCTTCTGGCTCACCTAGAAGGGTTGTGATGAACTAATCGTGACTATTCCAAAAAAAATTATATTATATTTTCAAAAAGATATAGAGGTTACTAACTTACTATATTCCAAAATTACAAAATTACAAAATTCCAAAATTGATTCAAAAACAAATTAAAGCA